TCAATTAATTTCTCTAAAATACAAAAAAAAGGAGTTCACATACACAAACAACGCTTATTTGATTTCTCGTCTTTGCCCACCGCTCGCTACTAACGGGGGGGGGGGGGGAGAGAACAAGAGCCCGTTGTGTCTGAAAATTTTGGACCCGGATCCGACCAAGCCCGAGGCTAACCCGACAGGCTCTAATAGGGATGGTGCATATTGGTACCCTATATATTTTAATATTCCTTCTAGGTAGTGTTTTATAAAATCAATGAACGTATTGTTAATAATTTTATTTATAAATCTTGAGACTTATATTATTAACCCAAATAGTAAAACAATTACCTTCAAGTACATAACTTTGTCCCGGACTTAGCCAACCCTGAAAACAGAACATAAATAAATTATTTTAATTATATGAAATAATCCAATTAGCATTTCTTTTTTTTTCATATCACCGGAGCTTTATTACGTATTATTGTCTAATTAAAATAGCAATTCAACTTACTTTTTAATAGCCTATATTTAAATTTAAATTTGTTTTTTTTCTCTTATAAATGAAAGAAAAGAAGAAATTAGAAAAAAATAACTTACCAAAGAACAATATGGATCATTTAAACGATAATCAAGTGTTGCTGTTTGTAATGCTCTAAAAAGATCATGATGATCAAATTTACACGGATCACTTTGAATATGTTCATCAAAACCAAGTTTTTTCGATCGATCTGAATCTAAAAAAATAAAAAATATGAATCAATATTCTCCATAAATTAATATAGAATTGTGAAAACATTCCCATGCAAAAAATAATTCATGATTTCATTTTTGCACATGCCATGCTAAACAATAGTACAAAAAAGTAACTCAAACATCACATTGCTTAGCCGGGATAATTTTGAATAAACTTCTAAAATAATTTGCTCTTTCTACAAGATCATATGACTGAGTACGTGAAACAGGTATTTGTCCTATATAGTATATGTACATAGATATTTTTTTGGTTATTGTATTTATTTCTCATTAAAAAGAAAATTTGAACATAATTTCTTTATATTCTTACCAATTTGATCTTTTTGTCCTGATCCAGGAGGACCTTGTGATGGTTTATTTGTTGCAGTTGTTGGTGGTGTTGGTTTATGTGATTGACCTGTAGCACGATATAAAGCTTGTACCCAACTATGTCGTTCATTTTCTTCATTTGTTGCAAATGTAACAACATCACCTTCACGTACAGCTTTAAAAAAATATTTTGCATCATTCATAACTAAGCCTATTCAATCAAAGATATTATTTAATTAAAATTATTCATTTTTCTTTTCGTAAACAGATAATTTACCATTATCTGGTTCAGCATAATCAACAGTGTAACCTTCAAGTGGCATCATTTCAGTAGGTTCGGATTTCTTTTCACGATAACTACATATAGCAAAACAATATTGAGAAACCTAAAAAAAATCATAAATTTATTTCAAAAATTATATTAAACTGTGTATCATATAGATTTTATAAATATACAATAATAATTCTCGTTTTCAAGTTCTTATAATTCAGTATAAATTTTGTTCAAGTTCAGCAAAGTTTCTTTGATTGTTTTTTAAAAACGTCATCTCAATTGGTATCAAACAAGTCCTATATAGAGTGTGTGGCACTAAGTTTTTGTTTAGTCCCGGTCCTGGTCTAAAGAAAACTATTCTGGAATTTATTCATATCATATCTTAAAAACAGTTCTTGAATAGTTTTTTTTCTCCTTATATGTTCGATGATGAGAACATTTTTTAATTATCTCGTCCTTGAATTATATACTGATTAATGATTTATAAGAGTAATTTATTTAAATATCATAGAATATTTAACTATAGTCTTAAAAGTTCCTGCTGGGACAATGTTTTTTTTTCTCGTACTCCCAGTATTAATCTCAGCAATTTCTATTTCCTGTGGCATCGCTTCCGGTTCCGACAAATTTACTTTTTATGGTCCCACGGTCGAGATTCAAATTAGCTGTGCACAACTCTAATTCTATTATACATTTATATTTCGAGTTTTCTTTTGTTACAATTGTTTTACCTGAACTAATGCATAGTATCGTCGTTTCCATGTTTTCCAGACATTTTTACCTCGAGCATAGCACCAACTATCAAAAACACAAGAACCAAGCGAAATCAATCATTTGATTTATTTTAAATCGATACATACCCACACATTTTAAGATTTTGTGGTTTTTCCATTCGTACATCTAATTTAACTTTTAATTCATCAGTTGATGTACTTTTATTTTTAATCATATCTGTCCACCAATTTGTTTTATTAAATGTTGGATCAATTTGTAATGTTACTTTACCAAGTTTATTATCATCTAAACTAAGTATCCCTGGATTTTCCATATAAAGTTTAACTTTAATTATTGGTAAAATTTGATTCGTTGGAAATTCTGCTAAAGATTCCCAAACAGGTTTTCCAGCTTCAGCATGTTCAGTACGATATTTTTCTCCACCTTCAACTTCCATCGTACAATAAACAATACGATTTGTTGGAATTGATTTTAATCCACGAACTTCTTTTACAGTTATATTCACATTAAAATTTAATACAAAGGCTAATTTTGATAAACCTGGTTCACTATCTTCTAAATGAGTACTTCCATCATTATGTGTTGATCTATTTGATGAATTAGCACCAGATGATGAACCACTACCAGTATTTGTATGCCGACTATGACCAATAGTACGTTTTGATCTTAATGGTTTTTGTTCTGAACCACCACGTACTGGTAAACTTTCAAGATTACTCATAAGATCATTTATAGTCTTTTTTAATTCATCAACATATAATGTATCCATTTCTTTATGTACAAATTTCGGCATTAAACCACGTTGCTAAAAAATAAAAAAAATAAAACGTTTAAGAACAAAAGAAAGCACCAAGAAGATAAAATCATGCTGCGCGATTAGTTTAATATTTTTTCTACATTGATTCCATGCAAGCAATTGAGAAAAGAAGAAAAAAGAACCTTTCTTGTTTTTTGACAAAGATCAGTTAATAGATCCTGGAATAAGTAGAATTAACTTTGATGTTTTTATTAGTGTTTTATTAGAATTTTTTAAAATGTTAAGTCGTTTTTTTTTTTTTTGTTTGTTTATTAATTTTTATTCACTTACTCTTTGTAATGATTCAGCTTGTTTCATTCGGCCATCAAGTTCACGACGAATTGTTGCAGCTTGTTCATCATTATTATCAAGCTATAAACAATAAAGTCTCAATAAATATTCAAAGATTAGATTTATTTTTGTTTCTTACTTGAGCACTATTGAAAATCATCCTAAACAGAAAAAAAAAGCATCTTTTAGAAATATTCAATAAAAATTCTCATATATGCTTTTATTTATTATTTGCCTTTCGGAAATTTGCTTAATATTTTTTTGTTTTTTTCAAAATATAATTAAGTGAAATTTTCTTCTTAATAAATTTGTTTTTTTTATTAAACTTACTGATGTTCAAATTTTTTAATTGTTAAAATATTTTGAAACATATCATATAATTGTTCTTTACTCATAATTAATTCAGCTGATGTTGATAAATAATTTGATTTTGATAAACGTCGACCAGCATTATCTTGATCTTGATCTTGACCACGATAAATAGCATCAAATTTTGACATCCATAAACTAAGCACCGTATCTTTGCTTATTTTAAGTGAATCAATATCAGGTAAACTTCGTACACGTTTTTCAATATTTATTCGAAATACATCACGAAAATCATCCGAACAACAACCACCGGATTGAACCATTTTACCAATACGTTCACTTTTAAGAAATACTTCATAATACGATCGAACAGCATTTATAAAAGCTACAAAAAACAAAAATAATAATAAAAAAAAAAAACAAGTCTTCTTCTTTATTTATTACTTACCTTCATCTGCTTCAATATGAGTTTTACCACTAAGAAATGCTAAAAATCTTTCTTTAATAACACCATATTGAACAAGATTTATTTTTAAATGTTTTCTTGCCATATCTGACGATTGCTTTGAATTAAATGGACATGCAACACAACGACAAACGAATACATATATTTGAAGACGTTTACGTTTTATTTCTAATTCACGTTCTACACGTTCATTTTCTTCACGTTCACGTTCACTTAATAATGATGGGGATGGTGATGGTACACGATCAATTGGTAAACCAGCTGTACTCGATATTGTACCTGTTGATGAACTAGTTGTATTTGTAAAAGGTGTTACTAAATTACCAGCATTTGATATTGGTGTATGTCCTAGTTGTGGACGATATTTTATTGATATTGAACTTGATTGTGCTTGTAATGATAATGGATGTACTTGTTCTTCGGACGATGTTGATGATTCTGCACTTCTTAAACTATTTGAATCAGTTTTAATAGTTGTTGATGGTTGATTTGTTTCATGATAGAAATTTGTATTTGTTGATGAGCGTATTGATAATGATGGTGAATCATTGGTTGAACTTATTGGCATACTTGTTAATGTACGATGTGGTGTTGCCGGTGATGAATATAGATTACCCGATGTAGATGGACGATGAATTGGTGAAGCTCTAGATGGTGATGATAACAGATCGACATGACTTAATTTTGGTGTTAATAATGGTGAATTAACATTAGAATAAGGAGAATTTGGATTTAATACTGATGTCCGAGTTGATAGAGGTCCTGGGCGATTTATAGACACCTGAAAAAGTTTATGCAATTTGTTTACTCCGTTCATTTTTTATTTGATCATTAAATTATGCACGGTACTTACCGGTTGTTGACCAATAGCTCCGCCTTCATTTTGACCGACCTCTTCCTCATCATCTGTGGAATCATGCAGCATAATTTGTTATGTTCATTATTATACGTTAGGTAACCTCATCAATAAGAAGATAGATGCAATTCATATAGTCCTTGATGTTAGTTACATATTATCAATGATATATTTGTATATTTTTATAAAAATGGATTTTTTTGTCTAAAACAAAAAAATTTGTAACAAAGAAAAAACAAATATCTGTATTTTTGCACAACTACTCTTGTTCAATCATAAGCAGTCGTTGTCTATATCGGTACTTATGAGCGCAAGCATGCACGCACACTTCAAAAAAAGAACACACGTCAGTCATCATCGACGCCATTCAATGACGTGAGTACTCGCATAAGAGCTGACTAGGCTACTACCTCTCAATTCTTGTTAGCACGACTAATTAAAATCCTTCTCTATTCCTTTGACAAACTAGTATGCTCTCTGCTATCGGCAGTCGTTGTTCTCGCTACTGTGTTGCTAGTTGTTGTTTTTTTCTTCATGAACGCATGAACACAAGCTGCACCTTTCCCTTCTATTGTCTCTCTGGAGAATAATTAAATTAGATGACGCAAAACGATGATGAAGTAAACATTCGCGGTAATGTGAAGAAAAAATATATGTATTTATATATATATGTCGTGCCGAAGTTACACTCTTTGCCGAAGTTATAACTTCGATAAAGAAATGTTTATCGAAGTTATTAAATAACTTCGACAAAAATGTCTGCCGAAGTTGTAACTTCGACAAAATTTTTGTCGAAGTTATAACTTCGGCAAAGAGTGTAACTTCAGCACGACATATATATATATCGATATATGTGTATCTCTTCTCAATTCGATAACTATCAAACAACAATAGGCAACAATCAAATAGTAATAAAAAGCGATTAACTTACAATAGAAAAAAATTCAATAGTATATAGTTCTATTAAAGACAAATAGAAGAGCTCATTGTTTATTTATTTTTTCTTCATTATCTACCAAAGTTAGAGTCTTATCGTCATTTTTTTGTCATATCATTTCCATCTTTCTCTCCCTCTCTCTCTTTCTCACACACATTTTATGTGGTTGGCATAACATCTCGCATAAAAGAATAGGAAAAAAAACAACACGCGTTCGATGTGCTCGTGCACAAGCATTCAAACACATAAACTAGGTTTTTTCTTCCTTCAGCTTTCTCATCTTCTTCTTGTCTGCAAACGATGGTTTGCTATAAAGAAAAAGGGAGAGAGAGAGAGAGATCGAGAGAATAGGGACTTTGTTGCTACGATAACACACATTCAAAGTCAACAGAATCACTAATATTATCGTACAAGCAACTTACTTTCATGATATTGATTGTGTTGAGTCAGTTTTACATTGTCATGTGTAAATAGTCTATCTTCTCAAAAATATTATTTTAAAATGCAATTGTAAATACGATTAGATGATCATCTTATCAATATCTATGATGACAAAATGAACTATGGTCAATGAAATTTAATGAACGGAACATCTTTGATTATAGAGTCTCAACATATCAAGACACGCACACATCTACTCGAGATGATGAACTGAAAGAGAGAAAAAAAAGGACAGGAAGAACGACGAGAATCGCTAATCGATTAGATGCAAATCCTCTTCGATAGAAAGAAGAGTGATGAGATGAAAACGATTAAGGAAATGAAATACTCACAAACACATAGGAAAAAACGAGAATGAGTATGAATATAAATGTAAAAGAAACACCTTTTTCTTTCTTTTGTTCTTCTTGTTGTATGTGATGATGATCATTGAATGAAAAATTAATGAAAAAGTTCGAGCAACAACATATACACAATACACATCGCAATGAAAGTCATTGACCTTGGTATATACAAAAGACAAAGTTATAGTAGGAAAAAAACTTTTCTTATGGGCAAATCATCGCATCAAAAACGATTTCTTGTCTTAATACCATTTTTTCCACATATGCGCACCTGATTAGTAATAGCAGACAGTTCTGATGTGTGTGACAGATTTGTCTACAAGGCCTAAATAAGAAAAAAAAAAAAGAGAGAGAGAGAGAAAGCATAGAAGAAAAAAAAAGAAAAAGAAGAAACAGAAAACGAAGAAAGCGGATTTCTTTTATGTTAGTTAACAATGTCAGTGACAGCCTTATCTTAAAACAGGCCGATACTATTTGTTTTTCATCAGTAGAGCAGTTTGAAACGTCATGCCACTAGCATTTCTTTATAAAACAAAAAAAAACGACAAAAATGTTCTTCAATGTGCATTCACCGAATGCTAGATAAATATATCGACTGAACAAATGATTTTGTGTCTATGTGTACTAATCAAAAAAACTTGTCTTGCCTTTTTTTCTTTCACATTGACATTCTCTTGTAACTTCACACACACCCCAAAGGATCAGTTTTCTTCTGACTTGCTTTTTCTTTTTTTTTTTTCTCTTCAAAGACATTCGGTGTTTACTTACATACTGCTAGAAATGAAAAACGACAAGTATTATAACGAAAAAAAACAAAGAAAACTATAAAATATATCTATAAATGAATAAGAAATTGGAGTAGAGTATCTAGAAGACTAAGCATGAAATGCAAAGCATATGTGCAAATGTGGATGCACTAGAAAAAAAAACGACAGAAAGAGAAAGCTACTATATTTAATATTTGTTTTCATAATAAAGCTGGTAAAGTAATCAAAAATCAGTCTTTCATACACACTCCTATGATGAATAACTTATGTAAAAGAATTTAAAAAAAGACTGATTATCGCGAAGTATATATATATATAATAAACTACGGATATTGACAGACATCAATGTGAAATTAATCCAATATCAACATTTCAAATACTGATAGTAACTTTATAAAAATCATCATAATCTCTATTGTAAAAACAAAATGAATATCATTTATCATAAAAAAAACACGTTCTTCATCAATCAGACAACCAAGTAGAAGAAAAAAAAAAAAAAAAGAACGGAACAAATAAACAAAAACCAGCTTTGTCATTGGTCTAATAAATCAAATGTGACATCTAGATGTAAAAGTAATAGCCTATTGGTATTTTAAGGAACCAAACACTGTTAATGAAGATCTGTCATACCATGTTCTTTCTTATTTAAACTAAATGGCAAATTACGTTAGTATAACACCTCCATCTCGAGCAAATATAGTTAGTGATCATAAATATCGTTTACGATATTTCAAAACTCCAGCTTGGTGTCCTTATTGTGAAGATTATATATGGGGTTCTGGTAATATTGGTTATCAATGTACGAATTGTGGTGATTATTTTCATGTTGAATGTACACTTGTTTTAACATCAGGTACATGTCCTGGTTTAAATGCATGTCATATTAATAATCGAAATTTAATAACATATGATACAAGTATACCAATAAATGATTGGACAGTAAATGATGTATGTGAATGGTTAGCTGTTGTTAATTTATATCGTTATGCACCTAATTTTCAATCATTAAAATATGATGGTGAAATATTATTGTCATTAACTGATGAACAATTAAAACATGATCATATACATGATAGTTATCAACGACAAGCTATATTAGATGCAATAAAAGAATTAAAATCACGTGATAAATATCGTCCAATATCATTTGAACGTTTTCGTACACAATTATCAACTAATAATCATGGAGATAATTTTATTTGTACAACATTTTATGAAAGACGTTTATGTGATTTATGTGAAAAATTTTTATATGGAATAATTCATCAAGGTTTACAATGTAGTCGTTGTGGTCTTGTTATGCATAGACAATGTTCAAAATTACCATCGAAACGTTGTATACATACAAATAAACAACTTGAATGTCATACAATTATTGGAACAGATTTTAATGATCAACCAATTGATTCAAAAACACAATTACCTATTATTATAACACGTTTATGTCAATCATTAGAAAATATGGTTGAAGATAATCGAACATTATCATTAATGGATGCATATAGATTTTCAATTGAATCAGCACGTATTGTTCAATTAAGAAAATTAATTAACGATAATGTATGAGCATATATATATTATTTTTTTGAATTGTTTATTTTCGTTTTTTCTTTTAGGATATTGAAAAAATGGATTTTAAAAAAATGGAATTATCTGAATTAGCTAGTTTAGTTAAAATTAGTCTTAAAGAACCTGGAACAGGTAAGTTTACATTCAATAAATAATGATTTATTAATAATAAAAAATCATGTAAATATGACAAGTCACTAAATTAAATATTTTAATACAAAATTTTTGTTATAAGAATGATTTATATGAATTGTTGATTTATGTCAAAAAAAAAAACAGAAAAAACCTAGAACAATAGTTATTGAAATGAATAGAAACAAATAAGATTGATGATCTTTTTTTTTCTTTGTCTATCGTATTCGATAAAATAATATATTGTTAAACCTACTTTTTATATTATTAAAAATTAATATATATCAACAAGGAACATTCCTGAAGAGAAATTTTTAATATCATTTTTTTTTTCTTTTTGTCGAACAAATGAGTACAAGTTGATGTTACTGAATATTAAATGCATAGAAACAAAAATGCATTAATAAATTTATTTAATTATTTGAGGTTTTGTTTGTTTGATTGTTCAATTTTCCGACAGATATTTCATTTGTTTTGAATGATTAACTACTCGAAATGGTAATAAATGAACTTCAGTGATATTTTGAACAGGATTGTTATTCAAAATTTCTCTTCCGGAACTCTAGGAGGGCGAACATCTATTATTGAAAGCACGAGCACATTGTATATGGTAAAATAATCACAAACTCCAGGAGAGCTACATCGATCTTCGAACGGATGCTTCTCTCCTTCGCTTGGAGAAACCACTGATTGTGGAAAAACTACGTAATTGTCGTGTTAGATGAAATAAGTTAACTATACTTTCGTTGCATGTTTCAATGCACATACATTTATATTCTATTTAATTATTAAGTTAATAACTGTTAAGCAAAGTAATAATCTATGAAAAAAAGAATTTGACTTAATTATACTGTAAAAATACGTATTTTTAAATTA